GTAATATATGTAGAAATGTTTAAAAATGTATAAAAAATGTTAAGAAAGGTTTAAAACGTTTGAGTTAATTTTCCTTGAAACTTAAAGTGTGATATTAAGGACACATTTCCCATTGCCCTAAGGCGTGTGTATTTTATAGATAAGGATTTGAACTTTAGTTATTGACTCAGAGTGACTTGTCAAGATAACCATTTGAGTGAGTGATGTATTTTTCCTAAGATAATCACATGTAGCCCCTTGCCCTGTTTGAGATTAACATGTGTGCATTGACGTAATTTATTGATAGCCACCTGAACTGTTGCCGGTGTGGTACAGACTTTAAAAATGGGATCCTCCCTAGCTGGTTTGGCTCAGTGGATAGAGCGTCAGCCTGTGGACTGAAGGGTCCCAGGTTCAATTCCAGTCAAGGGCACATGTCTGGGTTGCAGGCTGGATCCCCAGTAAGGGGCCTGCAGGAGGCAGCCGATCAATGATGCTCTCTCATCATTGATGTTTCTATTTCTATCTCTCTCTCCCTCTCCCTTCCTCTCTGAAATCAATAAAAATATTTTTAAAAAATGGGGGTCCTGACCAGCCAACGGTGCTTGCCTGTTGAGACAGCCACAAAGGCATGTCCTCCTGTCAGTCCGGCAAGCAACGCCATTCCATGTTTCTTTTCTTGCCAGATGACAGAAGAACGGCCAGTACCTCTCGATCAAGATGCGACTGAGCTCTCGAGTGAGGAATGCTGACCCCTGCATCCAGACCGGACCAGCCCAGCTGCCGGACCCCAGAGGACAGCACCACTGGGATCCCCATTAAGCCTGTACCCACAGCATCAGGAACTTGTGTGAGTAATAAAGTGCTGGGTGATTTGCAGCTGCATATGTTTCATGTGCTGTCATTCCTCCAGCAGTTAACTGAATTATTTTGCATACGCTCAGAATTAAAATCAAAGCTTCTGGTCTTTTCAGTCCTAGGCCTGCCCTTGGCCTGCTTGCGTAGAGTAGCCTCTTCGCTAGCAACTCCTTGAATGT